GTGCTGTCTGTGCTCGGCTTCCCCTTTCTGGGCCTAGGCGTCAAGCCCTCCCTCCATCTGCCCTCTGCCGCCCAGGCCCAAGACTTACAAACCGGAGTCCCTGGTACCGCTGCAGAGGGAGCCCGTCCACCAGGTAGCTGGGCTTGTAGGGACAGTCAGGCAGGACATGGCGGAGTTGAGACTTGGGGATCAGAGGCACTGCGGACAGTATGGGAAGAGGGACGAGGGTTAGGGTGGGAGCAGGACCTCGGCCCGGTTGGTACGGCCCGGGGCGCACCCTGGTGGCAGAGGACTAGCTCACAGGCACGCCTCCCTGCAGGGGGAGAAACTCCTGGGCAGCACAAAGCCTCACCGGGTGGTTTCTGTCACAAACGGAATCCCAGCCAGTTACTGACTTTGTGGGGAAGTGGGAGGAGCTGGACTCTGACACCCTAGTAGGCTCGTGGTCTCTCACTGGGTCCAGTAAGAATGACAATGCTTGTAGTCATCTGTCCCTACTGTGGAGGACTCACAGGGGTCAGGCTTTCGTGCTCACGCTTGACCAGGGGCTGGTTCTGTACTGGTTTGTGCAGCTGTGAAACTGTACAATATATCTTTGCACTTTTCTGTGTGCATGTGACTTTGCACTACAAAGACAAGGGCTCTCTGAGGCAGAATCTATGTGTCTGAATGTCCTCCATAGGCACCCATGGACCTGGCAGCGTAGTGTCCCCAAATGGATGGCAGGGAGGTGGCCGAGGCCTCACCTCGATAGAGGGTGTCACGCGGGTCAGGCCGCAGCATGTCGGCGGGAGGCTGCTCGTCACCCTGAGGAGGGTCCTGGGGGCCTGCGTGGCTGGCTGCTGTCTGTGGGATGTGGCCCACCTCATCCATCTTCAGCACCGTCTCATCTGGGCCCCGGAGACAAGAACAGAGGGCACCTCTGGGTCCTGCAGAACCATCTCCCTGCCTCTTGGAGGCCCAGGGAAGAGGCTCAGCCAAGGCTTCGGGATGCCCCGGGTTTGGCAGAGATGTGCTCCCACGCTCCTCCCTCTAACCCTGATCCCCCCACCACCTCGAGGCACATACCCCATTTTTGTATGACTAGAAAAGCACAGCTCTTCCTTCAGCGCTGCTGGAACCTCGTCGCGATGTTGAACTTATCTAACAGATGTTTCTGTTGTATTTACTTAACAACATGCCAGGCACTACTCTAGGCGCTTTACAGCTGCTAGTCCACTGGCCTCCCCGGTGCGCAAGAGTCCAGTCTCAGCACTGCGAAGCTGCCCGCAGCCCCTGCAGCACGAGTTTGATCCCCAGCCAGGGAGCCGACCCACAGGGCGCGGCAGACCTCCCTTCTGCTGTTCCCCTCAGCAGTGTTTCGGTCATTCCTCCTGTTCTGCTCCCCACTGTCTCTGGTGAATCCTTTCACCCCCTCTGGCCCCTGCATCTCTGGCTCTTGTATGCACAAATAAATCTTTTTTTTAAAAAAAAAAAGATTTATTTATTTATTCATACAGAACTGGGGTACAGGCCAGAGACAGAGTGGGGAGCAGAACAGCCAGATTTATGAATACACTGCTGAGGGGAGCAGCGGGCGGGTCAGGAGAGGTCTGCCACGCCATGTGGTCACCTCCGGGGCAGGCGGGAATCAAACTCATGCGGAAGTGGCTGTAGCTTCTTAGTGCTGTGCTTTAACCTGCTGTACCACCTGGGAGGGCCCAAAAATCTTTTAAAAAAACTGTTAACCCACTTACTTTCCCTGAGCACCATACAGCTGTGCACGATCACTCCCATTTACAGACAAAGCGTCTGGCAGAGAACCCGACACGAGCCATGCGTCGGAGATGGCACAGGGCTGAGGGGCGAGCGGCGCTGGTGGGCGCCTGGTGTCGGCCTGGGTGCGCCGCCTCGCCCCTCCTCAGCACTGGCTTCTTCCTGTTCTCCCAGCTGGCTTGCGCTCTGCCTCCCGGCTCACTTGTCTTCTGCCCCAGACAGAGCTCCTGCCCCAGACCTTACTTGCTCCTGACCTGAGCTTTGCTCGGGGCCTCTTCTCTCTGGCTCACGTGCAGCTTTCCTCGTCCTTCTCGTACTGTCCTGGCAGCCTCCCCTCTGCCGTGACCTTACGGCCTTTTGCTCTGGAGGGGACCACCTCCTCCAGGCCTGCCCTTCCCCCCGCCATCCTCCTCGAGCTGCCCATCCTGCCCGCCTCCTGGCACACACTGCCCACTCTCTTGCCAGCCTTTCCCTTCCTCCCGTGGGGGTTCTGCCCACGTGGCCCCTACCTTCCCAGGAAGCCTACCATGGCAGTTTCTCAGGGGGGCCTCTGCATGGGAGTCTTGCTGAGGAAATCACAGTGAACAGCACAACCGAAGAGCTCATTTACAGCAAATTTAAGGCAGGGGAGACCATTTCCTCTCCTCTGGCCATGGCTTTGCCAGCTGCCTGGATGCCTCACGAGAAGGTAAGAGCTTGGCTTCACCCAGAGGGTTTCATTTATTTGTTTATTTTTAAAGATTTATTTATTTATTCACGCAGAACTGGGGTTCAGGCCAGAAGTGCAGGGGCAGTGAGAGGGTTCAGCAGAGACAGAGTGAGGAGCAGAACAGGCAGATGGACTGAAATACACCACTGAGGGGAGCAGTGGTGGGACAGGAGAGGTCTGCTGTGCCATGTGGGTCAGCTCCCTGGCCGGGGATCAAACTCGCACTGAGCGGCTGTGGCCAGTGTCACAGTGCTGAGCTTTAACCAGTTGCGCCACCGGAGAGGGTCCTCACCCAGAGGGTTTTAATAGGAGCGAATTTCATGGTCTCTGAATCCCCTTGGAACTGCGCACAAAATACCATGTTTGGGTGGACAAGGGCACTTTCTGGGTCAAGGATGCAGAGAACTTCCAGCAGGTTCTCAAAGGGGTCACTGACCCTCAAGAATCTGTGAAGGTTCCTTTAGGCTCTTGGTTTTCCCTACCCATGTTCCAAGCACCTGTAACTGTAGTCTTTACCCATCCCACACCTCCCCTGACCAAATTCCCTCAGTGGGCTGAACCCCACATGTGACACCACCTCCCTCATCTGGGTTGGGAGGCAGAGTCTACTCACTTGTGAAGAGGGACAAGGAGAGGGAGTCAATGATGCTGAACTTGGCCCCAGGGTCATTCCGACGCCACTGGAAGAGGAAAGAGGGCGGATGTGGAAGGCTGCAGGAAGCCAGGGTCTGCAACGGGGTTCAAGCCACAGGGCAGAGGCCAGGCAGGGACAGCAGGATGCTCACCGCGACTTCCACGTGGTCAGTGCCCTCGTCATTCTGTTTGTGGAGCACCTCAAAGTAGTACCTTTGTGAGGCCGACAGGCTGGGAGGAGAGAGCAGAGAAACAGGTGCTGTGGGCTCAGGCCCCAGCACGGTCACCACTGTCCACCGGCTGTGTCACCCACCACCCACCTCTCACCCACCACCCACAGACGCCTGGATCCATTCTTCTTGTTCCTGGAATCCCAGAAACTTGCTGATCCACACTACCAACGATAGCAACATGACCTTAGTTTTCGCTACTGTCAGATGGGACAATAAAAATACTTCATAGGGTAGAATCAAGTGCAACAGTAATAATGAGCCTAGTCGCTCATGCCAGACACTAGACTAGTCGCTCCATGCCAGACACTGTTCGAAGAGCTTTATATCACTCAGTGGGCCCTTGTTTTAGATGACAACACTAAGCACAGAACCTGTGGATAATGCCCAGTTAGCAAGACAGTAAGTGGTAGAGGTGGGATTTGGACGCCGGCACTTTGCTTTGAGTCCTCATCTTTTGCTCTTTGCAAGGTGGCCTCAGCCCCATCAGTATTGCGAGGGCGCTGTGACTGGCTCGCCGGCCACCAGGTGGCGCTCTGGACTGGGCTAAATTCTCTCTTGGCATAGTCAAGACTTGATTCCAGCCACTGTGGGCTGGCAAGGGCCTTCCTTTGCCTCTCTGTCTGCCACTTTCTGGAGCAAAGGCTGGACAGCTAGCATCAAGGCTGCAAAGCTGCAGGCATTCCCAGGGATGGGGAAAATGGGAAAGGCGAGAGCTTCCAGAACTGAGTGTCCCAAATATGGTCCACCCCTCTCTGGACCCGTTTCCTCATCGGACAGGTAAGAAGCAATGGGCCAGATGGCTCTAAGTGGGGCTTCTGTTACAGAAGCAGACAGTGCGCTGGGCATTGGGCTCTCTCACGCGGATTCGGCCTCAGCATAGGTCAGTCAGGACTTTTGCTGCTCAGGAGACTCTCATGACATTCCCTACTCACCTCACTGGCTTGGAAATTTGACTTCGAAATTTCCCAAATTCTCCAGGGGCGGTCCATTCTTTTCCAGTCTAGAGGCCCAAGGAAAGAAAAGAGAAGGAAGAAAAAGAAAATAGGGAGCATGGGAGTGGTGGGTGCAGAGACAAGGAAAGAAAGAAAAAAACAAGGTGGGGAAAGGGAGGGAAGATAAAGGCAAGAAAAGAGTTAAGGGGTGACTGAGTAAGCACCTGCCAGAGCCATCACCCCCACGGGGAGAAACCTGTGCACCATGCTAAGTGGATAAAACCCAAGATGTGCGGGGCCCAGTTCCAGACCAGATATGGGGTTCTGCCCTGGTCACATTCTGATTCCTTCCTTCTCCTCACTGTGTTTATCTCTGTAAAAAGGGAAAGTGGAGCCCTCTCTGGCGCAATGGGTTAGGACACAGCACTACAAGCTGGTTGTAGCTGCTTCAGTGCGAGTTTCCCGGCCCCGGAGCTGACCCACATAGAGGCAGACCTCTCCTGACCCGCCCGCTGCTCCCCTCAGCAGTGTACTTCATCAGTCAGCCTGTTCTGCTCCCCACTCTGTCTCTGCTGAATCTTCTCACTGCCCCTGCACCTCTGGCCTGTACCCCAGTTCTGTATGCACAAATCAATAAATCTTTAAAAAAAAAAAGGGGGGGGGCTCCGGGAAACCCACAGGGATTACAATTGAGATGGAAAAAAAAAATGTACAAAATGATGTAAAAATAAACTTTTGTTAAAAAAAAAAAAAAAAACCCCCCCCCCCCCCCCCCCCCCAGCAGTGAGAGGATGGGTGTTTCCTCCTGGCTGACCCACAGAGGTACTGGTGCTAATGTCCCTGTGAACATTGGGATAGGATCCCAGAGCTGGGTCAGCCCTACCTTGCCCACACTGGCGAGCAGCTGAAGGCCAGAGACCTGGTCGTCACGGCTCAGCCAGAATTCCGCATTGTCATCCGCAGCAATGGCGAACTGGATCTTTCCTGGGTGGTGGGGGAGAGAGTTTCCAGATGAGAGCAAGCAAGAAGGGCATCAGCATAAAGGGCAGAGGCCATTTTTAGGTCTTCCTGATTAAATTCTCTTTCAGTGTGGTGTTCCTCTGGGGGATTTCGAAATCCCTCAAGACGATGTGATCATGGAGAGGATTTAGAGAGAGATGCAAGCTAGTTCCAGATTCTGCAAATCAGGGGGTGAAGTGGCAACCTGATGGGTTGGGGAAGGGACTGGTGAGACTTCGCTTGGACTCAGTTTCCCCTCACCCTGCTGACGGTCTAGCAGGGCTAATTAGCCAAGCGCAGAGTGATTGCTCAGCTACAGGCTCATGGTCCCTGGGTCCCTACCTAACTCTGGAAAAGGAAGTAGGACAGGACCTGGAAGCTGGCCTCACCATCAGTGAAGGGGTGCAGGTAGCCAAAGATGCGGAGGCCATAGTTGGTCCATTTGGGGGACACGGCCAGCTTCCTCAGGGTTGTGCGGATCTGTGCCAAGAAAGGGGAGGGAAACTGTTACCCAGAGAGGGAAGAGGAAATTGGCCCCCTCGGGACTGAAGACCTCTCCTGGAGGGGAGCAAAGTGGTAGGGACTGGGGTGTGACCTGGTGAATGGAAGCCGGCAACTCCACTGGCTTCTTTACCCAGGTGACCTTCACGTGCACAACAGCACCACGGTATGTGGTGGCCGCAGGTGAGCTACACTGTGAACCCCAATGGGAGCCTAAAGCTGAGGTGCAGACATGGCAGGAAACGGAAGGGGTCCCTGACAGGGGAGCAGGAGAGATGCTGAGGGCAAAGGGAAAGTGGCCCGAAGGAAAGAAAATGAACCAGGGAAAGCAAGGAAAGATGGGGGAGACAGAAGATGGGGAGACAGGAGCGGAGGTGGCTAGAGAGGGGGGGCCAGGCCGGCCCAGCAAGCACTCACATGGGGGTACAGCGGGAAATGGAGGTTCCTCCTGAGCTGCTGGATGGAACTGCCACACCAGTCTTCAAACACATGCAGGTTGGCGCGGCCCCGGAACTGTACAGGGCAGGGAAGCAGGTGGAGAGTGTCAGCACCCCCAGGCCTGCTCCTGCTGGCCTGGGCTTGAGGAGCCCCATGGAGACAGATGTCCAGGCCCCACAGCTCCACCCCGAGTTCCTCTTACAAGTGAAGTCCACCATCCCTCCAGTCCTGTTCCCACCCTTGACCTTTCTCAGGAGCGTCCTCCCTTGCCTGGGCCCGAGGCCCTGCTCTGATTTCCCGGTCACGCACGTGTGCACCAGCGCATGCTCTTTGCCTGCAGGGAGGGGCCGGCCTGCAATCCTCCAGCGAGGGGCTGACAGCCACGACAGAGTGGCAGCGATGAGGGGACGTGGAGGAGGCCCGGGCAGGGGTGTCAGCTGAAGACTTGCTGGTCTCCCCTCCCCGTCCCCTAATGCCTCATAAGGGGAAAGCCCCACAGCTGTCTGCAAAGAAACCTCATCTACCCAGTGGTCTCAGCCCCCGGATCCCCTTGTGGGGAAGCAGCTGGGTAAGAGGACAGGGGTGACCTGGGCCCTGTCGGCACCATGGCCCCCGGAGCTGCTCTCCAGGATCTCAAAGTCATCCACCCCGCCAGGCCTCACCTGGAATAACCACAGTGCCTGGGGCTGTGAGGCCACGGTGGGAGTGGGGTGCAGAGGACGTCACCGTCTCTCCTCTTGCTGTGGGTGGGTGGGGGACAGCCCTGGGCTTGGAGGCCTCCAGCAGAGCCTCTGCTAGGGCGAAGGAAGGGGCGGTGCTGGGAGGGCAGAGGGCTGAGAGCTCGGGAAGGGCGGTCAGCGTGAGGATATGGTCCAGATTTCTCCTGACAATCTTACATCACGCCCCCCTCCAGTCTCAGCTCTTGTCTGCTCCCTGCCCCTAACCCCCCTTGATCTCTGGGTGGTGGGAAGCGGGGACTCTGCTACTGTGCAAGCAGGCCCTGCCCCTCCTTCCCCTCATTGGCCCATGAGGCATCAGAATCTTAGGAAAACAGAGGAGGAAGGGCATCCTGACTAGAAGACCAGATAGCGATCAAGCTATCGCCAGCCACTGCAGCATGAGTTCGATCCTGGCCAGGGAGTGCCCCACATGGCCCAGCAGCCCTCTCCTGACCTGCCCGCTGCTCCCCTCAGCAGTGTACTTTGTCCATCTGCCTGTTCTGCTCCCCACTCTGCCTCTGGTGACTCCTCTCACCCCTGCACCTCTGGCCTATACTTCAGTTCTTGTATATATATATAAATCAGTATTTATAAAAAAAAGATTTGGAGGGAGGGAAGATGGGGGCCAGAGAAGAGCGCCTCAACAAGATGTCAAAAAACCTGAGGTGTGGTTGGAAGGGTGGCCATGGGTTGACCAGCCTTTGGGACAACACCGACCCCAGGTGGATCCGGAAGAGACGAGGAGAGCCCTCCGCGACCTGGCACTTTGTGGGCAACTGGCCTGGCCAGCGTGAGGATGTGGGCTCTGGGCAGCAGCCCTCAAGCCTCAGAGTATGAGTTGGGGGGCTGGGGTGGTAGAAGAGAGAATGTGAGCTGGGCGAATGGCTTCTGGGAAGGAAAGAAAGGGGACATTGTGCTGCTTCTGGGGAAATTCTTTAAGTCCCGTTTACAAGACTCAGTTGTCTCCTTCCAATGCCGTCCCTGGAGACGTCCAGGGCAGTGGGCTGAGAAACGCAGCAGGCCGAGGAGGGTGGGCCGCCTGGCAGAGAAGTCAGCTGTGTTCAGCCCGGAGGCCAGAGGCCACTGGGGGTGGGCAGAGAGGGGAGGGCGGGAGGACAGAGCTGGGCGGCGCCCTCCCCCTCCTCCCCAGGCCTGGCTCTGGCTCTCACGGGAGCCCGAGGTGCTACAGGCCGCAGCAGGCAGGGGAAGTGGCAGTGCAGGGCTGCAAGCTGCCCGGGGTCCAGGCCCTTCCGCAGCATGGAGCTCGCCCCCAAGCCAGGCCATGCACCCTCAGGCTCAGCTGTGAGGAGTCCGTGGGAGTCTTGCTCCCCAGTCCCAGACAATTGACCCATTGGGGTCCTTGTCCCAGCAAATTCTGGAAACATTGACTCTGGCAGGGATGCAAGACTCCAGCTCCTGGACACCGCCCTCCGCCCGTTCTCCCCGTCCACATCTTGCAGGGCAAGTCCCAGGCAGGGCTCACGCTACTCCCACCTCCAGAGCTTGTCCACAGCCACAGACCGACCTGGAACTTCAGTGACAGCAGTGGCCACCCTTTCATTTTAGAGGTGAGAAAATTGAGGCCCAGAGAAGTAAACTGGCTCCCCAAGGACACACAGCAATGAAGTCCACGGACGTACGGAGGACAGATGGAATCATGGGTGCGGCAGGTGAGGCCACCCTGGCGGGTCCTCACTAGGGAGGTCCACTGTACCCCTCACCCCATGGCATGGCCTCTGCCGGGCCTCCCTGGGCGGGGCAGTAGCAGAGCCTCCTAACTGGACCACAGCTTCTCCTTCCGCCTGCAGAACTGACTTTTTCCAGCTCAGCTCTGACCCAGCCCCCTGCTGCTACTTCACACCTCAGAAGACCTCTGGGCAAAAGCTCACCTTGGCACAAAAGACCCTGACTCACCTCACCCCACTGCTGTCACACACCTGGACGCCACCACACCACACTGCCATGCGTCCTCACCTCTCCTACCTGCAAAGCACCATTTCCTGCGTAGATGGCCCACCTGCTCCTCTTTCAAGACTCTTCTCAAAAATCTTTCTCTCTGATTTCCCCCAGGCAGTGAATAACCTCCTCCTTTGTGTTCACAGCACAACTTAATTACTTGAATGAACAAAGATTTGGAGGAGACTCAGTGCTCTGGGCACTGAGGATCTGCTGTGTACAAGCCAAAGATGAAAGAGAGAGACCTGAAAACAAACGGGTGTCAGCTGTGCCTGGCCTCCTGGGAGTTTGTGATGCATAGGACATGGGGCTGGAGTGGGGGGTATGGGGGGGGCAGTAGTGCTGCCTCCCACAGAGGTCACAGCCCATTGTGGGGTGTGGGCTCTCACCAACTCCACTGTTCCATCCTGCACTCTGATTCACAGCATGAGGCCAGCAGCCCTTTAACTCCTGGGGCAGTGGGGGCTCGCACTAGAGAAGCAACCCCATGCCTCAACGCAGGGGACAGAACAGGCAAAGCTAACAGAACCAGGATAGAGGCCCCTGCTCCACTCCCAGATACTCAGTCTTGATTTGCTGTTCATATCTGTCCTTTGAGGGTACTCCCATTGGGGTCCCCTTGAGCTACAGACTCCATGAAGATACAGGGTAGCACTGGGATTTGAGGAAAGGGCCAGAAGCCCATAGGGTAGATGGGTAATGCATAAAAGGACCCCCACTTAAATAGATGGGGATTTAATTAGCTGAGATGGGACATGTACGTCACGAAGGGAACCAAAGTACATGAGACGCAGATTCAGGACTTGGAGAAGGGGAAAGCCTGAGCCCCCCAAAAACTGGCACACACACTTCACAGAGCACTAGACAAGGCCAAAAGTAGAAAATGTGCATCTATCAGGAAATAAACAACATGTAGGGACCCACACAGTGGAATATTATTCAGCAGTGAAAAGGAAATCCCGATACATGCCAACACAGCTGAGTCTTAGGAGTGCACACCGAGTGACGGGCAGAAGACCACATCTTGCATGTCCTGTTCTATGAAATGCCTAGAACAGGCGAAGCTGTAGAATCAGAATGTGGGTAACTGCTTTTCTAGGGTCTGGGGGGATGAGGGCGATGAAGGGAATGGGATTACTTTTTGTGGTAATAAGGACATTCTAAAATTGGCTATGAAAGGGGCTCACATTCCACATAGCTATACAGTAAAGCATTAGACTTCTAATGTGAGGGCCCAGGTTCAAGTCCCTGTACAAGTGTTCCTCTCTCACTTTTAGCATCAAATTCTAACCACTGTTGAAAAAAAAGTACATACTTTAAAAAGTAAAGCTGTGATGGATGCCCAACTTGGTGACTATATTAACAGCAATGGAATTGTACCTTTCAGTGGACAATATGGTATGTGAGTTATAGCTCAATAAAACTATGTTGAAGGAAAAGGAAAAGCCAGAGAAGAGGGGTCTGGGTTGCAACCTTGTCCTCAAGAAAGACCCCACTGCAACAAAGCCACACTGCAAGACCCAAAAAACTGGCTTGTTTCAATCTGTATTTGGTGAATTATGCATTCACCAAATGCTTTTCTTGGGCTTCCAGGGAGGGGACTAGATAGCAGACAGTTTTTTGGTAAATGCACTGGTATACTGACTGGTAAGTGAATAAAATGTCTCTGAGGTTTGTTAATGAGTGGGGTGACCTAAGTTTCTGGGAGCAGTTACTCTGCGAAGCTCAGCCCTGTGGCCAGGTACTCTGCTCAGTCTCTGTAGTCGCTTTTATACACCGATAGAAGGCTCAAGCCTGCTGTGCTGACTTCAGGCCTCAGAGCAGCCAGCCACACACTGGTGCAGGGAGATATCAAAGAAGAGAATATCGTCAGCTTGATGTTCTGTTCCTGCTCGTTCCCCCGCAGCGCAGGGCTAAGTACCAGCCTTCCACCTTGAAGAGTGAGCGAGTTAACCCCTCTCTGAGGCATTGCCTGGAAAGGGGGGCCGATTGTTATGGCCTGACAGCTCCCCACCACTATGGATGCTCAGTAAATGACACATGTCACTAGCCTGTGTGTTTCCTGCTGAAACCGATGGCAAAAGGCAGAGACAGGTGAGGGGTTGGGGGGAGGAGGCCCAGCGTGGGCTGGATCTCGGCTGCAGCTGTGGGGCTGCATGCCAGCTGCTCAGGTTCTCAGGGCCTTGTTTTCCTTGTCAAAAAGGGAGACAGGATTGGGGGTTCTCTGAAGATCCGGGAAGACTGAAATGAGGATTTTGTGGGCTTCTTTCTCTTAATGTTAAAAAACAGCCAGCGGGGGGCCCTCCCTGGTGGCGCAGCAAGTTAGGACGCAGCTCTGCAAGCTGGCCTCAACCGCTTCAGTGAGAGTTTGATCCCTGCTCCGGAGCTGACCCACATGGCACAGCAGACCTCTCCTGACCAGCCCGCTGCTCCCCTCAGCAGTGTACTTCATCAATCTGCCTGTTCCGCCCCCCACTCTGTCCCTGGTGAAGCCTTTCGCCACCCCTGCACCTCTGGGCTTGTACTCCAGTTCTGTATGAATAAAGAAATAAATCTTAAAAAAAAAAAAAAAAGCCAGTGGGGAAACATCTAGCCCCAAGGCCACACCCTTCTTTTAACCACTAGGTATCATTTGTTCACTGTTTTTGTGTGTTTGCATATGTGTGCATGTATCTCTAATGCTGGAGGGGGGAATCAAGGGAAATGAATGATTAATAAAGGCAGAATGCTGTGTAGTTAGAATCTTTTGAAACAAGTGAGCAAGTAAAATGATCCCAACTGTGGTCAAAGGTGGAGAAGGCTGGCTCTTGGCACCAGTGGTCCAGAAGGCACCTGCTTTTCAGAACACCGGCTCTGGGTGGCGCGGGGCCTGAGCACCTGATGACACCTAGTGCGGGCGGGGCCCGAGTGCTAATCCATCCTCTCTCAGGGCTGACGCTGTTTCCCAGGGTGGATGACCCAACCGCACATCTAGCATGATAACGCCTCCTTCAGTCCTGCCCGCAGCAAGTGGAGAGTTGGAAACAAAACCACTGAGGCTGCAGAGTGGTAGAGACTGGCCTGCAAGTACCATCACCTGTATCCACAGCCTTCGGGAACTACATTCGGCTGCAGACAGGTTGTAAAAGATTAAACTCAAAGTTTTAAGTGTCACCTCCAACACTATGCTACTATGGAGTCTTCACATAAACATGTACTGAAGGTAATGTTTGTGTGCTTTCAGTTTCTCCAAAGAAGGAAAATCATCTGTCAAAACTATATAAATGTAAGGTAGTGGGATGATTAAGACAACTTTTATTCATAGGCATTAAGTGTTTCCTCTAAAATTTTTGGAAAGCAGTTTTCTAGTGTATGTTCCTGGCATGCTGGTTTCATAGACAATCAATAGCTATTTCGTGGGAAAAAAAGCATCTAGGAGGTGAATAGTTATGACGCGTGCGGGTTAAAGCAAGTGAAACAGATCGCTGGGGAACGTCTCTGCGCGTCTCACACGCTCCGGCGCTCCTCTCAACAGAGGTTAGTTAGCATACGGTTTAAAAATATTAGACAAGATTCTTATCTCCCTGGAATGTTTTATAGGACTTAATGGCTCAAGAAAAAGTTTTGGGAAGCCTATTTTTTCTTAAGATTTATTTATTTATGCATACAAAAACTGGGGTACAGGCCAGAGGTTGGGGGGGTGAGAGGATTCACCAGAAACAGATTGGGGAGAAGAACAGGCAGATCCACTGCTGAGGGGAGCAGCGGGCGGGTCAGGAGAG